CTTGAGTACATGTTTGGATAGCGACCACACGTTGATTTATGCGCGTATATGCCTGTGTCAACGTTGGAAAAATGTGACAACAAAACCATTACCAGTGCAGCTCGGCAACGAAAACACGAAAGTCAGTTTCAGTGAGAAGTTGGCTAGGCAGTTATCGGAACAAAAGACTATCACTCATCCAGAAAAAGCTTCGTGCTATCTCAAGTCTGCTGTAAAAGCAGCGCTGAGGACCGTAGCCGACTGTGAAAGAGTCTGAAAAGTGCCAGTAGATATCAGCAGCTTCTTCTGAACTCATGGACGCTAGTGAACGCATTCCTGCAGGCTCTGAGTACAATAAACAGCGAGCACAACTTAAAAGTATATTGAGAAAAAGTCTACGCAACGACCGCGAATAGTGGTACGCAGCGAAGGTTAAAGAGATGGAAAAGGCAGCGGCGACTGATAACAGTAAGTAGTTACTTAGACTTACTACGCAAACTGCGAGGAAAAGGTCAACAACGGTTAGTGAGGCTATGGCGGAGAAGGATGGGTCTGCGATTCACTCCGAGGGAAGACGATTGGAACGATGGGCAGAACACTTCGAGGAACAGTTTAACTGGCCTCCAGTCACCATTGCGTTGCCCGCTATTCAGCTGAATCCTTGATGGAACATTGAGATAGGCCCCCCCCAACACTTGCAGAGGCAGAAAAAGCTGCAGGTAACTTGGGACGATGAAGGACAGCAGGACTAGACGGACTAACTACTGAGGTATATAAGGATAGTGGTAGAGAGTTCTTAATCAGGTTGATGGAAGTGTTATGGGAGTTAAATACGATCCCCACTGACTGGTCTTAATCACTGATTACTCCAGCCTTCAAGAAAAACGAGAAGTCCTCCTGTGATAACCACAGAGAAAACAGCCTGACGAACATAAAGTCTAAGATTCTAGGTTCTATAACTTTCCAACGCCTAAGTGGAGCTCGGGGACAGTAAGCTCGAGAAAATCAGGCAGGCTTTAGATCCGGCCGCGGGTGTGTCGACTAAATATTCAACACTGCGCCAGGTCTTGGAACACAGGCATGCTTACAGACGCCCAACACTAGCTGTATTTCTCGACCTGAAGGCGGCATTCGACTACGTTGATCGAGAAGTCTTATGGTAATGTCTTTCACTGAAACGTGTGCCAAGGTACATCGCCTTATTGAAGGTTCTCTACTCGAACAACTGTGGGCGTGTTACAGCCTATGGTGAGATGTTCGGGGGCGGTGCACCTTAAGTGGTATCCATCAAGGGTGCCCACTCTCTCCATTCCTATACAATTTTATAAAAGATATTCATACGGAGGTCTCCTTCCCGTCAGCTGACGACACATAGGTTGACCTAACCGCGGAAGAATTTCCGTCAGACCTAAAATACGCAGATGACATAGTCCTGTTGAGTGAAGACGCTGATAAGATGCAGAGTCTTCTGAACACTTTGAGTGGGAATTTGAGAATGTTTGGGATGTGGTTCTCACCACACAAATGCAAATTGTTGCTCCAGGATTGGTCTTCAACGGTCCTACGGCTAACGATTGAGAGTGTAGTGGTTGAGTGCGTTGACCACTTCACTTACCTGGGAAGTAGGATCAGCCCTGGTGGGTCAGTGGTCGATGAAATCTCTGCACGGATACAAAAGCCTCGATTGGCTTTTGCCAATTTACGCCACCTATGGCGCCGCCATGACATCTGATTGTCTATCAAGGGTCGCGTGTACTGCACAGCAGTCCACTCTGTTCTACTGTATGGCTGTGAAACATGACCATTGAAGGTGGGAGATATGAGAAGGTTGGCTTCAGGTGTCTGACCACAGTTGCCTTCGTAGCATAGGCAGTATTCCGTGGTGTCACTACGTGAGTAATTCAGAAGTTAGGTGTAGAGTTTTATGGAAAAGAGGTAAATCAGTTGACGAGGTTATGAACCTTCATGGATTGAGATGGTTGGGACACGTACTACGTATGCCTAGTCACCAACTGCCTCTTCACACAATGTTGGCCGAAGTAGGTCCAGGATGTAAAAAGGCCTGAGGTGGCCAGACTAAAACATGGCACCAATGTATGAAGTCTCTGACTGTTTGTTTAAGCCATGTGGGGCGATGCAGACTAGGTGGTTGGGGTCGGCGGGAGGAGAGAAAGCGGTGGTTGGAGACTCTAGGTGATGATATGACTGAGAACCGATGTCAGTGGCGCAGATGTATACACACTTTATCCTCATCTTAACGCTATACCGAATCTCACAATTTTCTCATTCTTCCTTTCTCCCTACTAGTACTTTATATCTCTTTTGACTGAATTTTCTTTTCTTCATCTTCCACTTTACTGCTTATTATTTGATGTACCGATATGAGGTGTGGTAACTCGGACCGTCATGCAGTAATGCCTGGTTCTATGTTGATCTGGATGTATTATCAACGTACATAGAGCTGACTTCAACATCTGCTTTATAAAACTTGTTGAATACACGCTTCAGATGTGCTTCAATGGTCAATCGTGAGTGAGAACAAATTACCATATACCAGAAGACCAAATGTATTGATAAATCCACACGAAAGTGATCAAGGAGAGCCACTTGTCCTTTAGGTATAAACATGATAGCAAGAAAATGAAGAGAAGTAGATACAGTTATGATTAGAAAACAGAAACGAAGAAGCGGATACAGAATCATAATGCCACACAATCAAATTTTCAATCGTGGTTTAAGGAGAACAAAATGAACAATCGCTTACACTTCAATTCTGTCACAAAATGCAACCAACAAACGAAATATCCTAAGAAATGGAGTAAGTCCAGATTATTCCACTGAATTCGTTACTGTTTTTATATTTCACCTGATTTCTACTCTCCGCATAAGCATAGACCACCACCTGCAACTCGTTCAGAAACACCACCAGGACCCAAAGAACTATCGGTGAACACAGACCCTCTGACAAAGGCGAAAGTGAAGTCCTGAACACTATAAAGTCGCTGAAAGCAAAGAAAGCAGCAGGACCACGCAAAGACATCAGTGGACGTACTCACACCACTATTGTAGAAGATCTGGAAGGAAGGAAAGGTACCTGCCGATTGGAATAACGGTTACCTCGTCAAACTCCTGAAAAAAAGAGACCTAAGTCTTTGCAAGAACTGGAGCAGAATCATGCTCCACCCCTGTCCACCCTAAGCAAAATATTAAACCACATCATCCTGGAGATACTAAAAATTGCTCTGCATGCAAAATTACGACCAAAACAGGCTGGCTGGCTTCAGGAAGAACAAATCATGTGTGGATCAAACCGCAACGCTACGCATCATCATAGAACAGAGTATAGATTGGCAGTCAACTCAACTTAACCTCAACTTCATCGATTTTGAAAAGCCTTCGGTAGCGTCGACCGAGAAGTAAGTTGGCAGCTGCTTCAAAACTACGGTTTTAGTGCCACAAACCCTTGTCAACCCCATTCAACAGAAGCTACATGCCATATGAAGCTACATGCCAAGTGATCCACAATGGTAAGCAGTTCAGTGATGCCTGTGAAGTGAAGACAGGAGTAAGACAAGGTTGCCGCCTACTATCAGCGATGATCTTCCTGATTGTGATCGACTGGATCATGCAACAAACCGTGGGGAGCCAGAAGATGGGCATACGTTGTTTAATCGATGAAAAGAGCCTAGAAGAAGATTTGGATTTTGCCGCCGCCGCTGATGATGCTTTATGTCTAATGCCTTGTCGCGCAAACTCAAAGATCTACAGGCGAAAACTAACAAGTTGGCAGAAGAGGCGAGGCAGCGAAGACGGGATTTCTATTAGGTGAGTGTAGAGAAGACAGAGGTGATGAGGATACCCAACCACCACCAACAACAACAACAACAAGCATTAATGACCATCAGCGGGAGAAATTTAAAGGAATATGTCTATTTCCCTACCTGCCTAGGCAGCATCGTTTCAACTACAGGCGGCGGCACAGATGAGGACGTCAAAGCGAGCCAGGATGGGAAAAGCAAGGCAGGCTTTCAATAATTTGAAATCAATATGGAGATCTACTGCAGTAAGCACAAAAAATGGGATCGGTTTTTCAACACTAATGTCAGTCAAGTCAGTGCTTCTATATGGTTCAGAGACCTGGCGCGTTATGAAAAACATTTCTGACAAACTGCAGACATTCATCAACAGCTGCCACCTATGCTCACTCTTTACTGGAGATCAGATGGATAGGCAGGAAGAATAAGCAACAAGGGACTTTGGCTAGCTAGCAACGAACCAACCAAGAACCTATCACTCAACAAATATGAAGAAGAAAGTGAAGATGGAACTGGACGTAAACTGAGAAGACCATTTGAGGACGTCACGCACCAGGCCAGGCCGTCGGGTAGAACCCAAAGGGGAAACGACGAGTTGAGCGTCCGAGGGTGACAAGGAGGGGATCATGTAAGGAAGGAATGAAAGCTTCTGAGCAGTGGTGAAGGCAGGTTCAAAAGACTGTAAAGAAAAGAGTGAAATGGCGACGTGCTACTGAAGCCCCATGTTCTACTAGGAACCAAAGGGACAAACAATAATAAATCAATCTATAAGCATTCATCATTTATGGCAGTCCCGCAAAAATATTAAACACAAAAGCCTGAGTATAATGTGGTAAGTGTTTTTCTCTTATAACCGCATGCATCTCTTGAGATGAAAGATGACTTTGCTGCAGCTAAGTAATTTAAAGCTAGTAACTATTGATACAAATGATGCATAGCACAGATTAGTTTAGCCTCATTTAAGCCCAATTGGAGCATGTTGCTACATAAATGAATCATGCAAAGTGTTTTGTGAAATCACTTCGATTTTCTAACTGAGTGGTTGATCTCAGTTCTTAGGTGCCTTCAGTGGAAGAACATTCATCAGTTAAGGTTCTACAGCCTTCTTCTTATATACACATATAGATATAAAAAATCAGGAAGTTATAATGAGCAATTGTAATATAATTTAGAATTGAGGGACGAAAATTGCACTTCTGAACTCACGATGAATTGGATTGACTTGTGATAATCCGAAGGATGAAATGCAACTTATTGATTTTATCCACCCATAATGAATCTTGTAAGTTGTCGTCGTAACAATGACTTGAAAATTTAGCAAATTGTTTCACATCTTGACACAGATTAAACAGGTAAGATACAACTGTTAACCTTTCTTTATAGTCAAGTATATCTTGAGTCAATTTTTCACATATGAAGCAAAGTAATGATGTGAAAGTATTAACTGTGGAGAAAAAAAGAAAAATCAAATCAAGGTTGATGGATTAAAAATTTCCAGTTAACTTCAGTTTATTTCCTATGTCAGTTCTGTTGATAACCGATATTTATGTCTCAATTTAAAACTCCAAAAGAGTATGATCAACTTTAGTATCGCAAACATGAGTTCGCATACATCAAAGTGTTTGGCAATTTAGACAAAGACCACCACCAATGGTTTATTGTAACTTACAGGTAGATAGACAACATCATAAAAAGTTACACCATAAGCATCAACTCAGTTTGCCACACTTCACAAAACGCCATCCCTAGAAAAGAAATGACATGAAAGTAAACAAAAGATACATCAGAAGATGCAAAGTATATCAATAGAAGTGTTCCAAAGTTTAAAGATGCAACACAGAGTATATGTGAATCCTTGTGGTCGATTTTAAGCCATTTTCACTTAAGGCATTTACACAATGATCCCTAACACCTCAAAAACCCCGAGAAGACAGTCTTAGCTTTCCTACACAGTCAAGACCAACATTCTGAGACTTCATGAACCGATGTGATGTCCTAATTTAGCCACCAAAATAACCGTACTTCAGTCGTTACTGTGATTTGGGAAAGATGTTGGATCATTGCGTGTGGCGTATTTCATCAACAGAATCGCCTTCTTCGTCTAGTGACATACGCCTAACCCGTAACACTTCTTAAACTGTAGTTCCACCTCAGATGACCGAAGTTTCAAATAAAAATGCAACCAAACATTTGTAGCCTCCTCATGACTTTCACAGCCGTAGAGTACAGAGTGGATCACTGTGCCGTACATCCGCCTTTTGATCAGTAGTTGGATAAATAACCGGTTCTAGAGACGATGTAGGTAGGTAGTCAACTTCCTACAGATCCAAACACCACTGCCTGGGCGGTTAGGCAGACGCACTAATCTCTACATAGGAGGAAATAAATCAAACCCTAACATATACAATTTCAGTCTAGCTGTAAAACAGATGATTTGTTCAGTATATTTTGCTAGGGTCGCTGAGTTCAGTAATCCTTGATTCATTCCAAAAAGGTGGTTAGGACTATTTGACTGCTAAAAGTGTGCAGAATGGTTTTTAAAGTCTGTTTCACTTTCCTCAGTTTCTTGGTTGTTCAAATCATGTCAACTTTTGGTGGTTATCAGGAAACAACATGCCATTAGAAACCATGTATCTATGAAGAAATAACTGCAGAGAGAAAGAAAGTAAGATTTACTTAATTTAAAAGTTTCGATAAAATAAATCAGTTAAATAGTTGATAAAACTAATACTTATTCGTCGCATTCCTGTCTTAGAATATGTAAAATATCGTCTAGAAAATTGAGATAATTTTTGTAAAAAGATGAATTAGAAAATGTACAGGAAGTCACAGACTACATTTTTCAGAGGAAATAATAACAGCCTGATGAAAGGGGGCAGAGAAAGTGAACACGAAACCCGTAAATACCATCTATCACTACAATAATAAGTAACACAAATCTATAACTGTAAGAGAATGCGATCCCTCATAAATAGTATAAGAGTTTCCTTCAATAATTTACAAACTTTTAATTAAACACAACGCATTTCAGTGTCAAGCAGAAGCAGACAACATTGAACCTGCCATTACAACAGATTATTCCAAGTTCCTAAGCTTCATATCAGTATGGCAACAGAGAAGTGAGCAAAAGGAAAGAAAATGACTATGATATTATCATAAGTTACAGAAGGATATAGAAATAGAACAAAACCAAATAAGATAATAAAGGATATGTGATACTACGATTTAAGCGAAAACGAGGCGTGAATTTACCAAACATCTTAACCAATCTAACTAAACAGGTTAGGGCTGTTTTGTGGAAGTTAATCCAAGTAGCTACACTTAACTACACCGTTCAGACTAATAACAGGGACCTCGGATACTGGTATCGTGTCCAGGGCTTACTAATTCTCATTTATTTTTCCACCTATTTCCACTCTATCTAGTCCCGGTCTGAAACATGAGAGAAACGTCTTAGACAGTCAGGAAAGGTTCACAACCAATATAATACTTTACACCTAATCTTCAAAATGGAGATAGTGTAATCCCATCACATGTAAGTGATATCATGAAAAAAGGGGCAAAAAACACACAGAGTAATTATAAATCTTCTACTTTTATTGTTTAAATTCACAGTCAGAATCGATGCTGGTATCTCAAGTGGTGTAAGAAAGTGAAAACCAATCAAACCTTTTTGTAGCAATAAATTTAAGATGTCAAACCAATAATCTTAGCTATCGTACTGAGAACTCATTACATAACAGATGAAAATTTATTAACGTCAAAGGAACAACGCATGACATGAAAGATAACTACAACTATGCACTAACTTTGTATTTTCAGTTTTGTGAGTTATGAGACAAAATTCAAATAATTAACACGAATACTAACTACCGATGAATCATAATTATTGTTAAAACCACTGCGTTTTATGACAGTTTGATTAGAATGTCACAAACTCATGAGGTTATTTAAGTTATTTAAGGTCTTGTAATCATCATCATCATCATTATCAACATAGGACCAGACATTACTGCGTAACGGTCCCACTTGCCACACCTCATATCAGCACATCAAGTAAAAAGGTAGTGAGGTGAAGGATGAAGATAAGTGAATGCAGTCAAAAGAAATATAAAGTACGAGAAAAAAGGAAAGAGGAGTGACAAAATGGTGAGATTCGGTATAGCGTTGTTAGGATGAGGATAATGTGTGTATACATCTGCGCCACTGACTTCGGTTCTGAGCCATATCACCTACAGTCTCCAACCACCGGTTTCTCTCCTCCCACCGACCCCAACCACCTAGTCTGCATCATCTTACATGGCTTGTAATGACTGCACCATAGTAAAAGTAGTAGAAACTTTACACAGACGCAAATCTAAATAGATGTCATTTGTGAAAATGGATTCACAAATTACTTTTCCATGAGAATTTGTTATCCTACTATACATTCTAAGATATATTTTTTTGTGATCAATTTGCTTTCTTTTCTTCCTCAGCAGAAGGGTTCACGAATACATCGGACTGCGTTTTGTTCTAGTAAATTAGTTATTTATTACTATTTATTGATATACTTGTAATTCTCCGTTGTTTTACTAGATCGAATTGTTCAACCTTTTTTGGCATATAGGCTACTATTCGGATGTCTCAAAACTGTCTGAATATCTAATTTTGATGGTTATATTTGGTTGTGACTAGCGTCCTGAATTCTTCTGCTAGCTATAAACGAGTAAAATTAGTTATTTACTTAATTTTGCATAACAAACAACAGTGTAAACAATGCATAGTGATTTCTACAAAAATAACCAATTAAAACTCTCACAATATACTTTCCTGATGAATTTTAATAGAGACAGAGAAAGTTCATGATTGAAGTGCAGAATGTATAAATTCTGGAAAGAATTTTTATCTTTTTAGTCAATAAGAGATTCAACACCAAAAAAACACATACCCCAATAATATTGACTAACATTGGCTAAGTTATCAGAATCCATTGATATGCCAATATCTTTATCATTATCACCAACATTATACTTTTCAAGGATAAACTCAATGACTTTCTTTAACAAAAGAATACTTCTGAATGAACAATATTTCAGAACTTCCATTGCAAAATTATCACTACTATTTGGCGTAAGTTGTTTAACTTGACAATCTAATTACAAAGAAAATAAATCAGCAATAGAGAAAACTAGAACAAAATAAAACTTTTAGAACAGTTCGAATAATATGTGATAAATTCCGTAGAAACGGAGGTAAATAACAGCTTGTATGCACACAATGATAAGGAGGATATCTGGCTACACGCAGTCAATGAATATACACCTTATTTTATGCATCTTGATATTCATCTGAAAGATATATCTGAAACACTGACAGAGGTATGAAGGTGATTGACACTTCTATGCTGTAATGCAGAGAAAACTGATCTTTAATTGAAAGTTGAAAACAAGTTGGTTAGATCTATACATAAGATATTTGCGCTTGAGTTGTCCTAATTTTATTTCTGTATCACTAATAAAAAATACTATGGTTTTCTCAGTCACTAACCTGATAAAAATAGTCTAATATATATTACCAAACAATGTCGAAGGTTAAAGGCCTCCAAACAAAAACATGGCAACAGTTACTGCAGTATTTGACTGCTGGTTTACATGGTGCAGCGGAATGTAGACCTCCTAGTTGAAATCTACATGGCAAAAAAAAAACGGCGGTTACAGACTCTAGGTGACATTGGTTTAGAATCGGTTGCAGTGGGGCACATGTATCCATACACATTATCTTCATCTCAATTACAAAGCTGAATTTCAGTATTCTCTCATTTTTCCTTGCCTTCATTTGATGACTTTCTGCCACTTTTAACTACTTCCTTCTTCATTTCCTGATCATTCATCTTTAGTACATTTTCACTTAGTGTAGTAACATGAGATGTAGCAACCTAGAATGTCAATACTTAATCTTATGTTTATTTTGTCTGTCTGGCCAACTAGGTCAATAAAAGTATGGCAGAACAGATACTAGAAATGATCCATAAACAGAGGGGATAATTGTAGTGCTACTACAAACCCTGAGGTGGATGACTTAATTGTGAAGCTTTTATGCCCATTCTGAACATAATCAGAAAAAAGTTCAACGATTAAGTGAGCGCAATAACTTGTTTCGATTACTTGGAATGTGAGTAGTTGCTTCAGTTAGTGGGCATTTTAAATAAATTCTAAAATATCAGAAAATTTGTTCTGAATCCCGCTGCAGTTTATTGTATCTTTTCTTTATTATTCAGTGGATGAATCATTTCACAAAAGATTAATTTAGTTATTTCACCAGCCAATTTATCATCATTTATCTGAATCTATCAGATAGTGATAAGATTCACTTCAATAAATCCGAATACCTTCTCTTCAGAAAGGAATCTCAGTAGAACTAAATGTGATCCAAAAGCTAGCCACTAGTAAGTAAGAACAAAACAAAGCAAAATGAAACTGAACGCATCTATTATTGCTCCGAAATGAAGAAAGTCAAAATTAATACGTTGGGTTTTCTTAGGTTACTTTAAGGATTACCCATTCGCAGAGTGGGTTTATGCTACTGAAGATCAGATGGATTGCCAGAAAGAATAAGCAACAAGGAGCTCTGGGAACGAACCAACCAAGAATCTATCAAGCAACAAATATGCAGGAGGAAGTGGAGATGGATTGGGCATGCACTGAGAAGGCCCACTGGGGACATCACGCGTCAGGCCAGTTACTCGAGTGGAATCCCCATGGGAAGCGACGAGTTGGACGTCGGTGCCGAGGGTGACATGGAGGAGGTCGTGTGAGGAAGAAATGAGAGCTTCTGGGCTGTCGTGGAGCCAGGTTCAAAAGATCTCAGAGAACAGAGGTCACTGGAGACGTGCTACTGAAGCCCTATGTTCCACTAGGAACCCAAGGGACTAATAATAATAATAATAATAATAATAATAATAATAAAGAGTGGGTTTATTGAATCGAATTTAAATTTTTGCTAAAGTTCACAGTTCTTAAACCGGTATGATTGAAAATGTATTATAATCTATTATAATCAACTAAGTGAACTTACTTTTGAGACAATCAAAAAGAAAATCGTCCAGTTTATTAACAAATAAATCACAGGAACTATACATAACAGGAATAAATGAAAGTAATTCGTCTCTGAAAAGGAAAAAAAAACACAGATAAAACAATTTGGAACAAAATTTCATCATTCTAGTAAAACAGTCAGAAAAAAATTAGCTCTGTGAATACAACCATGAGTGATACGCATTCCAACGTCCAATGAAGCTTGAGGTTTGTTTAGGCTTATTGCATATCTTGTGAAAAACGGTCTGAAAGTATAAAAAAAAAAAGATGCAAAACTTCCTGTAAAATGCCTCTGATCATCCAACATCAGACTTAATGCACCAAGAAGTAAAAGTCTCTCAGCTCCCAAACTTCATTCATATAATTCTTTTCGTACTTAGAATGAGGTTATATGATACTCGTAACTTCTGAATAATATCTCAACGTAAATATGTGAAAGTATTCTAATGTACAATGTACAAATTATTGAAACTCGGTAAGTTTGTGCCGGTTAATTTAATAATGAATGCTGATTAAAACAGATTAAATGGAGTAGGTCTGTACATAAGACACAGTGGATAACAACCTATAACCTGACTATTAATCAACAGCTCCACAACTGAGATTACCTCAATCGATTTCCATAAATCTTTTCAAGGTGAACATAATTAAAAACACCGTATCCCCTAACAACAAGTATAGTGCCATGAGGTATCACAACAACTACAGTGGTCACATTATATTAACCAATGACTGATCAGCTCCAGTGATCATTACAGACTGACTTCAACAATTTAGTTTAGTATGTAAAGATTAATTATATATAGACTGATTCGATATCTGAAGGAGAGTAAGCCACCATATGAATACACCAAGATTAACGACTTTGCTTGTCAAAAATAACAAAAAAAGCTTTTTTTTCAAGTGAATTAAGAAGTATAAATCGTTTCAAGTTCGAGAACTCAAAAAAAGAAGTTTAAAATCGGTTGTGAAATTAGCTGAAAATAAGTACTAAAAGGTAGAACATGTGAATTACAAGTTGACTTTGAGCAGATAACACTAAATAAAGGGGAATGATAGATGCTGTAAGTCTAGTAATTACATTATATGACTTGATCGATGAGTATGAATCAGTACTAAGAAAAGCATCAAGTGAATAAGTCTCCGGTGATAGATCACTCTGAACATAAATGAAGTGTAACCAGTCAGAAACACATCAATAAACATACCTTACAGACACTGAAGATTCATCAGCTAATAAGGTATTATTATACATTGAGGAACTTTGATTCACCCATTGAATCGTTGTGCAAACCATATTGAAAATCGAATCAATTTCGCTAGAAGATGATAAGATCCGTGGTGAAGAAGAAGAATCGAATGAATTATTTGTAGCAGGAATACAAGGCGTCATTGCAGAATATTTTATGATTGAATATGATAGGCGACAAATGCATATTGAAAAATGCAATATTCTTTCGCTAAATATTTCTGATAGACTTGGAGTAGTCATTATATATTCCCGTAATTGTGGTATAATTGTAGATGCATTTTGTTTAACAACCTTCAATGTTTTCATAATATGTTTGTCATAATGAAGAGCTAAAATGTACAGATTAATAAAAATTGAGGGAAGCTGAAAAGATATAGACATATATTGGATTAGATAAAAAGCATAGGAGAAAAATTAGATATGATGACTTATATACAGAATGTTTCCGGAGGATGAAAACAAGATTGCTTCGATATTTTATTAAATTGTTTCTGCAGTAGGAAAACTGCAGTCTTCTGAAGGAATTGTACACAGAATCTTTTTCTCGACCTATAGCTGCTACCTTGACACGGTGGTCGGGCTTGCATATTATATTGATCCAACGAGCTACGTTAGTCAAACGCTTGTCCACTCAAGATTTTAACATACCAGGAAGATCTGTTGGATAGTGTTAAGACAAAAAGTAGTTACCATTACAAAGTAAATTGCGACGCTATGATGGGGGTTTGAGGGTGAACTTGTACTACTTCTAGTTGGGTGTGACATCAATAAGGTGTTTCCCCCGGATGACCAGCAGTACCACATTGATGCTGCCTTTGTACTAGGAAGGCAGGGTCGGGGTACAAAAGGTCGACCCTAAAAATTGCAAACTCCCCGCTACCCTACAGCATACCGATCTCAGTAACCTGGTTTCATAATCAGATTCAAAACGAAAAACTTAAATCCTAAACTTTTAGAAAGGCCGTGTGTGACCGGCTACAAGCAGATATCTTTTAGTGCGGTTACGCACTACCCTTTCTTTTTAAGGTATCTCAAAAGAACTAGATTTCTACGGGAAGTGTAAACCACCTTCACAACTCTACCATCATTCAAGTTCCCTCAGATCACTGTCCACCTCTCGCATCTAAATTTTAGATTTTCACTTGTCGTACCAGTCTGTCATGAAATTTTAATGACTAACATAAAAGGCACTTATCATGTACAACTGTTTTGCAACCACTGAATTCGTTTCATACCAACTTCATACAATCTAATTAAGATAATTAGATGGTATAGTTAGTCGCTAACAATAAGAGAGTACAAACGTAATTGACCATAACAAAAACATTCATCCAATCACCAAAAAAGTTGTCTAGTCAAAACGACGAGTCAGGAAAGATGGATATCGAAAAGATTCATATTGTTCAGGTGACGTGAATTTAAGTATTTTTTTAAAATAAACTGTTGCTAAGACAGACAGATCACGATATACAGCTTATCAATCAAAACATTTTTATTTCAGTCAATCTATCATCATATAAATTACATTAATTTTGTAAGCAATACCTTACAAAGATCATATAATGCCTACATCTTTTTCATAATCACGTATGTGATGAACAATATGCACACAGTTCACACTAAACATCAAATAAACAGCCAATCACCATGCTCTAATGAGATTACATTTCTGTTATACAGAATATAATTTTTAGAAATCGTAGTCTAGCTGAAAACAGATTAAAGTCATATACTCAGCATCGCATATCTTGCCTGAATACTTTCGATTCTGAGTAATGGTAATAACCAGCCTATTACTTTAAAGAATCCTAGCTATACCATCCACATCGGTAGCCATTTGAAAAAAAAGTATACACAAAAGCAATAAACAAAAGTTAAATATCAAGTTGAATAAACTGATCAATCATTTAATTACCACTAATTAAATGATCTTCGGTCACACAAAGAAAAATCTTGTTCAGTAAAGAAATACACGGCTGCCAATTGAGTAGCTGTAAAACAAGAGAGGGAGAGGGAAGGGGAGAAACGTGATTATCATTCTGTCACAGATATGATGAATATGCGAGGTTACAATCAGTAATTACGCAGAGGAAAATCTATACTATGAAAGCGAATATATCTGAGCTGAGAGAAATATCCTACGAATGGGCAATTGCATACATATCATTTATTTGATAGATGAGAGTTTCATTCTACTTGAATGTTAGAAGGATTTCGCAAACGAAATTAATACATGTCTAGTGATTGAAACAATGCTATAGGATACAATGACTTCAAAGTATTCATTATGGAAAAATCTCATTCAAGGAAACATTGAAAACTACAGAGCGACTGACAACCAGTTCAGGACTGTTTAGCAGTACATATAGACGACTTTATGCGGGATCAAAACAATGATCATCAGAATTTATGAAGAACACAATACGGAGAAAATTCAGACGGAAACGAAATAGTTATTTGATGATTGCAGGTTTTCAGTGGTTTCTTAATCTGATCTTGACCCTTGATCAATACTTTGAAATCATCCAATTCTTTACAAACCTTCCAAGACTAAATGAGCTGAATATGATTTAAAAACGAAAGATTTCCTTTGATTTCTCATGCTTTTGATGTGAATTTCACAGTTTGGACCGATGCACAACAATACTATGTTCTTATATTGTTTCAATCTGTGTAAATTTACGAATTGCGAAACACATAGGGGAAGATAAGGCGTTGGACACACATGCAATAAGACTAGTACTAGTGCCCTTATTAGCCACAGAAAGTCTTAGAATGAGAAGAGAGGATAAAGTAAATAACAAAAATGTGCTATGAAAATGATGTGTGGATATTTATGTCACTGCTTTCGTTTCTGAGCGACATCCTCTAGTGTCTCTAATTATCGCTTTCAGCTATTTTGTGGACTTTGGTCTTGCATACTTCAGATGGGTGGCAAAAATATGTTTTAACTAGGTTATTTGGTTCAGATTAGTAATATCTCCGACTGATCAACCTCCTATTACATAAAGTTCTGCATACAGAAACAAACCTTGTTTACTCGTTTTAATTTCAACACACATAGAAACCAGTGGTCGAATACTTGTACTTTCAGCTGCTACGTGTCGTAACCGTATTTTAGGACACAGTCCAATTCAATCTTGAATGGTTACAATTAGATTTTAACAGCGTAATAAGAGGTCCCAATTGATATATACAAACCTAAAATTATTTAGTAGAGTAAAAATTTCATAGAACTGTTTGCGTGAATCATGATAGACGACTAGACAATTCATTGTCCAATCAAATTCTTGTCTATTTTGTAAACACCCATCACCTTGAGTTTGTCTGACTTATCTATTACTTCTTTGTTATATATATGACTCATAAAAGCATATTTACTGCTCCATGCCAGTATTATCCTGTATGGATTTTTCCTCTTCCTTACACAGTTTACATTTTAACCTTTATATGAGAATATTTACAACTTTCAAAGAAAACGTTTGGCGACAAATAATAGTATACGTTTTACTTTGAGCACTATGTAGACTGAATTATTTGTAGTGTTCAAAAATAAAAGTTCACCATTCCTTAAAAATCGTTTTATATTAAAAAGCGTTCTTTAAGCCTATAACTAACACTTCACAACCTCCAGCAATTGGTAAATATTTTGTCAATGCCTTCTACTAACACAACTGCGTGTTTTGAGAAATTCAGTAAGATAATTCTTCAATAAAAGTCCAGTTATTGATAAAGTAAAAAGATCTATGATGCTCTGGTAATAATGTGAATTGATGAAATTGTGAACTATCTTACTGAAGTCAACAACACAGGAATAGCATGAATTCAATGAATTACAACGGTGGTGAAGAGAAAGGTAATAAAAGTATTTGAATACTGTACGCATTTTTTTGCTCTAAATTATCAGTAGACTATTGCCTACTTATTTAACAGAAAAGAAACATTCTCTAATCGTAAAAAGAAACGGAAAGAACATTAGTAACTCGAATCTGCTCAGCAACCTTAGGCATATTCGTGCAGTAGGCAATGAGTTACATCTATTGTGTAAGAGTTAATGATATTACTTGACTGCTCAAATCTCGGTAAGTGGAGCGGATAACGAAAGAAGCGAAGTACATCCTATCTTGATAACATTATTTCACGATGTATTCAAAGATGGTAGTTCATAATTACTATTCAATAAGAGAGAATGAGATCAAGTTTAATTCCTTTTGACTGATCTCAATAGTTCAATGTTTCACTTAATCATGTAAAACAAAAGTATACTTGTGATAATCACAAAGAAATTAACCTAACTAAACTTTAGATTTTCAATTTATTAATACTCAAGAAAAATGTATTCATTAGAATAATGTATCTGCACCATATTCTAGAATGCATATACAGTTTAATACTTTTACTTAATCAGCTTACATCAACATTTGACTTTTGATAGCACTTTTCATGATATTTTCAAACTACTATTGCTATAATGAGAAGTTACGAAAGTGTCCTCTTGTCTGATTAATGTGTCTCATTCAATTCAAACTTATATGAATTTACAATCAGACAACAAAACAATACTGATTGCACTCAGATGACTAGTCAGTATGTGACATAGTATAAAAATTCTGCAGATAAATAGTTCTCATAACATTTTAATAATTCTGATAATAAAACACGCTACAAACACAGTGATAAGGCAACACTGAGAAGTTTGTATGGCCTGATACGATAATATCGAGTGAAATATCTGCAATATCATATTATCACATAAAGATAATGTTATGTAATAACTGAAGAGATAAGTTCACATATACGTAAGTTCTGAAATTATCTCTTTGATCACCAACAGAAATACATAGTGACGGTAATATAGGGTAAACAATCTCCTAAGAAGGAACTTATCAGAAAATTGTTCATCAAAACACCCATTGTTATTTGGAGTATTTCACTAATAGTCTCTAAAAGCTGTTTTCTTAAGGATACATCATTCTGATACATACAATAAATATTTCCTGATGATTGAAATGCATGGCATGTTGGTGAAGATAGATATCCCAACTTAGAGAACTGCACAAAAATCCATGAGTTTAATACCTTCACACATCATAAAAGAAATGATATGGAAGTAAACAAGTTTCAGAGAAGATAATAAGTAAATGACAATTACTCAAACTATTCAACCAGACACCTTGCATATCCCTAAACAGCTAAGAAAAACAAACCAATTCCGTGAACTGGTGTCATATTTTATCGGCCACCCTTAGCTCTCTTCAAAATTCATTCTAGTTTAACTAAAATCATGTGTCGATCTAAGCGGTGGTATGGTACGTATAAAACATATACACGTCACTTAAGTTAATGTAGGTTTATAATACATCCACTAAACGTTTTTGACTAGAACTTCGCTACTAGCCCAAACACTGATCACCGTACGTTAATCACATAAACAATGCTACGAAGACACCAATGATCAAAATTGTGCAGAAACCTAACATCATCAACTTTACCGACTATATCTTACACCCATAAAATAGGGCAGAGCGTACATCTACACAGTATAGTAGTTCTTTAATTGGAAGTCAAACATCTCACATGTATATATTTCACGTTAAGAAGTGTACAGTTATTAGCTAAAGCACACAATTTTCAAACAGTGGATTCAGAGATCAAATGCTGACCCATTAACCTCGATCTGCTGAACCGTATATAATCATTAGGCCTTACAAATAAAGTACATAGCTTAATACATACAGTTGTACCGCATTGAGCTGCATTATCAAGAAAAGTATATGTGAATTAGGAACTGTGTGTTCATGACGATGAATAAGAAGTATTTGAGTAGTTTTTCATTAATTTTTACTTAAAAAAAAAATTAAAAACTCAAGTTTCCTAACAATTTAATAACATTTAAGATACCATTATCAAGGATGTTTGATCATAGAGTGGGAAACTCAGTAATGCATTTTCTCTTAAGTATTAAAATCTTAAAATGTCATCCAGAGCAATTATATAATTGAACTAGAAATCAAATAGATTATTTTTTATCAACACTTCAGAGAATGTAGAACTGACGGCATACAGATACCATAGTTATTACACTGGAGTTAATTTCACCATACACCAAGGCTAAATTTTAGGATTGCTACAAGTGTATGCTGAATAATTTGAATCTGAATACCGAAATTGAGCAAATCTGAGGAGAAAATTAGCAACTGCATCGTAAACTTGACTGGGACTACAAGTATTCACTCCAACATCATATAAATTCACTTTGAAATACAATAATGTGTTGATTAAATTCATTTTCTAATCCTTCATGATACAAGGTATCACGATAAAAAACAGTAATTTATGTAAGAACTATTTAAGGTGACGAATAATCATGCTACAAAGATACCAACAAAGGTCTTCAATCACGTTCTCATTAGAATACCAGTCAAATTATTCAACACTAGAATAGTAATATAACATAAGCAAATCAAATTATAAATATTAAGCCATATAAATGGACATAGAGAAAATGAGAGAATATAGATAACGAAATAGAAATACACTCAGCAAGTGTGCACATTCATGCAGTAGGCTTTGAACCAGGCCGATTATGTGACGGATAGTGATACTAGCTGGCTTCCTAAACCTCAGTAAATGGAGCGGTGCTTAAACCGGTGACCTACTCAGCGGTTATCTAATAAACACAACCAATGCACTGCTGATAGGCTGAAATACTATAAAATACCAACATGCATTTGTAAACACTCCCTACTAAAGAATGTCACATTGTCTAGTCACAAAGGTTCACTGGATTCTCCCATTCACCTTGGCAAAATAATTGATGAGTAAACTTAACTCGATCGTTTGCCACACGAGTATCTGACTACGGTAGTACACGACATGAATTTGAATTCTTTGATCTCCTAGATATACCTTCCTAACATGATGAACATAATCAAAAAGGAAGCCTTTACTAAGACCTGATAATCTCTTTTAACTATTCAGCACCAAAGTCGTCAATATCATCCAAAAAGGAACTGAAATTTGAATGATTTGAAAATAAACTACCAACCGTTGGCTTGTGGCGTTGATATCACATTCATCTACTTCAGTTAGAAAAATGGAATAATTTGGTTAACGTTCATTGGTTAGGAGTGGTTCAACGCTAAATGAACAGTGCCGGATAAGAGCAATGAACTGCAAAAAATATTTCTTCATTATATATATATATATATATATATATATATATATATATATATATATATATATATCACAAATGAATACACACTAAACATCAGAAACCATGTATAGAATTTTCAACGCCAGTACTGATAAGGTTAAGTTTTAAAAACTGTTAAAAGATCTTAGAAACCATCACACATTAACCGGTAGATCATGAAAAATTAGAAAATTTCAGTACAGTTTAACTAACTTCTTCAAGATGATCTTTTATATCTTCTTTGGGGACTAGATGTTGAGAAATCAAACAAGAATCTGATAGAAGTGGTACACAAACACGAGGAATGATGTAACTGAACAAAATAGAAGACAGCAGAATATTATTCTGAGCAGATTTGAAGCTTTCAGTTATATAAGCAACAATAGTACTTGAAGGAATTAGTACTGGTGATTGGCAATTATTTGTATCCGTAAACGACAATCCAAAACTTCGTAACAAAATCAGAGCAAAATCCTCCAGTTGGAATTTTTCACTAGTCTAAAGTATGAAATGAAAAGTTGATACGAATAAATTTAAAAAAGTTAAACCTTAAACCACCAAGTTCTCAAATATTAAATGATGATTACTAATCCAAGAGCCAAGTTACTATTTCACTCGGCAACTGCAATCTAAGAAAAGCCTTAGAAGAATTAATAATTCACAAACTAATGACCTAGTTATGGTCTACACCTGAGATGCAGTGTTAACCGAAGTAGGTTCAAGGTGAGAAAAAGGTTAACAAACAAAGACGTTATACTAGTTTATAAAGATTTTGAATTCTGGTCTGAGCCATGTAGGAAAATGATGATCGTCTTCGGTTTTTCAAAACGATAGGAATCAATGGTAGGAAACACTAGATGATATGATTCAGAATCGATTAAAAGAAGCATAAATGCATACAAACATTATTTTTAGTTTACTTGTTATGCCAAATTTAATCATTGTTTTGTTCTTTTGTGTTCTACTTATACGATCTCCTACTAATCGGTAACTTTCCCCCTTATTTCTCTATCTTTCATCTTTATGCCTTCTGCTTTGATGTGCTTAGGCGTGGCAACTCGAACCATCACGCAATAATGTTAGATCGCAAGTTGATTTCGAGTAACTGGATAATGAAAGTTATTACTCACCTTTTTACTAGCTGAGAACTCGGTAGCTTCTTTTACACAAACTCATCTAAATCATAAGTTCAAATCTCAGTGTTTACTCTAACCCATCTTCTTTTCACTTTATAGCTCTTTACGACTTCTGACGATAGCATTTCCACTTCCCTATGTGTTCTTATGTGGAAGTATGAAGTGTGGCGTACTGGGCTATTACACAGAAATTCCAAGTCACATTTAAAATTGATTGATTGACCAACTACTTCATTTATAGTAAATAGCATGCAGTAGTTAAAAGCGAAATCCCGCTCAAGATCTAAATCACTCTGATGTCAACAGTGGATCTATGGCTCATTGGTATAGGTGTTCGATTTCCAACCAGTAGATCAGAGAGTTTGAAAACCACTCCATCTACCGAGATCTAGGCATACAGGTAGTATCGTTAGCCGTCACACAATAGGTGTAGATCACTACCTTACAAACGAGCGTACAGTGCCGAGTTGTATTTCATTTACTTTATGACACTTTTGCGTTGTTCATCGCAATCTGTGATTATAACCCACTAAGTGGTTTTCAACAAAAAACACATTGACGCCACAGTTGGATAAGTGAGAAACTTTTAGACAGTGAGAACTGTCGTTAAGGTCCTTTCTATATGTAAGTAATTGGGAACCTGATCTTTGACACTGGATCTATAATTACTGATATTTACCACCATAAAGAATGTGATCAGAAACCTTGTGGTAACTAATTTGAACTCCTAAACAAATGGTCACTTGTTATGAAAATTTTCGTTAATTGGCACATAAGTGCACAGATTACATCATTTATATGGTTACAAAACATATGTAAATGGATTACTTATTATAAAGTGAGTAGTGTAGTAAAATATTCAGTATGAAGGGCTAACCTGTTTAGAATAAGCATAAACTAAACCAGAGATGCACGATAAAACCAAGGGGTACAGGTCAGTTTTATTTCTTCTTTTTCCCATTTTATTCGCCTGAAATATAAAAAAGGCAATTTTTTTCAAAAAGCAAAAATAATTTCCTATTCAATTATCAGGAATTCAAAAACGCTATGAAAATCAAAAAATGGCCGATACAGGTTCAAAGTACAAACAAAATGTTGCGTATGATAAGCAACTGTATTTGTGTGACACTATAAAATATATGCCTGCAGGTGTCTCGATCTTATTTTCTATTACCTACGAAGTTGGCATCCATTTATCTATCGGCTTCGTGAAGAGAAATATACAGTGATAAATTAGGTAACTTCTTTTCTAGTTATTAGGTTATGAAAGCTTTCTTACCTCATATCTTTAATATGGTGAGCAAAGTATGTACACTACTATGCTAGACATAATAGACAGGGGTGACAATAAAAGCCACAACATATTCTACGGCTGCTCGGTGAGTCGTGATGAGAACAGGTGATATACAAATATAACGATAGGAAATAATTTGCCAACGATAGGTAAACGCCCACAACCAGCCTTGCCATTACGCCCTGGGTGGGTCGTATAAAAGTGAATGTGATTGCTTTCACACTGGGTAATAAGATATAAATACTTTGTTTGTAGAAAGTGGTGGTATTCTCCGTCTCATTTAGACACAGAATAAATTAGGAAATTACTAAAGCTTTTAAAAATAAATAAAGCATCAGGTTAGTGAATACATCAACACCGATATCGCACTACGGTGACGGGTCATAAGTTTAGGTGCTTAAATTTCAATCAGTGTCTCACATATACCCGAACACCACCTCATCTGCCGACGTTAGATTGAGCAACCAAGTAGCATTACTAGCCATCATATAATGTATATATATATATATATATATATATATATATATATATGTATATATATATATATATATATATATATGTATATATATATATATATATATATATATATATATATATATATATATATATATAATTACACTACTATTTTTCAGTAGATCCTTTTCATCTACAACGGTCAAAAGTAGATGATGAGTGTGGTTTAGTACACCTACACGCTACCCGACCGATGACTGCTACCTTCACGTGGTGGTTGGGCTTGTATATCACGATGACCCAACGAGCTATGATGATGGAAAGCTTGTTCCCTCGAGAACCTACCATACCAGTATGGTCTGTTGGATAGTGGTTAGACAAAAAACAGTAACTCCTTACATGTTCTTAAACAATAAGATGATGCATTATGGTGGCTTCGATCAGTCATCAGTGGTTAGTGGTAATCTAAAACCACATGACGTGTGTCCAACTACATCTCCTATAATATAGGCCAGTTGGCGAGAAGCCGTACGCGACCGGCCTCAAGCAGATATCACCTGGGCTCTGAGGTCAAACAATTCTCCTTCTGTTTCAGGTGCCTTAAGAAGAAACAGCCTTCCATGGTGTGGGCAGCCGGGAAATGTCATTGGTTTACGCAGTTGAATTTCAAATAGTGGATGACAGGTTCGAATCTCATTCCACCTACCAAGGATTGGACAGTAAACCTCAGAAAATATGTTTGACTCATTGCCTAGTAAATGGACATCCACGCTTGCTGAGGAAGATAATTTCCTGTGCTTCACCATTCTGATTGACCCCAGTCGGCTAGTTTGACCTACGTCCTTGACCTCAAAGTCATTGCATGGCATTTGATAGATCATATCACCTTGTTCAATTGAGTCAATAAGATTCTTGAGTCCAAGAAGTTCATCTCTGAGTAAGTTTGCGGGTTGGAATACCACCCTAACTGTAAATCTGTTGAGAATTCTACGCAAATTTACCGATATTCCTTATTCATATGGTAACAAGAAAGAAGCCCTGAGTTCCTTTCTACATGTGTTGCCGTTAATATTTATAACAATTTCGTTCCTTATGTGTTCTTACACATTTCTTCAAAAACTGTAAAATATAATTTTTAATTGGTGGTGTTTCTTTTGCATATTCTAGTTTTTTGTACTGACTAGTGAATTTTCTAGCCCTATTATTTAGACATTCAATTAAACCCGCCTCAACTAATATTGGATGACATGACCTATAGTTTAGATGCCTGTTGGAAAGTGTAACTTTCCTGTATAAGGTAGTATTTATACCACCGTCTATTCATCCCTTTACTCAGCAATCCAGCATAGTTAATTTTTGTTGCTCATTTTCTATCTCAGAATTGAACTTGATTGCATCTACTTCTGAGTTTATGAGTGAAGAAACTATCGATCTGTCCTCATTTCAATACAGTAAATGTGTCATCCACATACAGCCCCTATATCTTAGGTGTAAGATTAGACGTCCGTAAATTCGTGTGCTTCCAACTATCCATAAGTATATCTGCTACGATTGAGGATCTTGGTGATCTTATAGCTACTCCAGTTTCTGAAATTTGAAGAGTGAGGAGATCAAACCCAACTGTACAATAAACGCCATCTCATCAACTGAAACCTTAGTTCCATGAGTAATTTCTGAGTCGAAATTTTGTTGACTTCCGTCTATATCCCGCATTATATTGAATAGTACTCAAGCGTAAAGGTTTTTTAAATCATTTTTTTCATCTTTTTCTTCTTCTTCCAAGTCATTGGGACTTAGTTTGAATTCTTAGAAATCGCATAGATTGGAATGTCGGCGGTTTATAATAGAAGATTATATCGATGCTAAGTAATTAGATAGTTCACACATCGGAGTACTTCTGAAGTCAACTACCAGTTTAAAGGGATAGCTTGCTTTATGAACCTTAAAAAGAAAGTAAATTCTACTTGGATTATTGGTTTAGGGAATAAAATTAAACGAATTGAACTCATCCAAAGACGGTTCAAGTCGGCGTATTATATCACCTCTAGATCTATCAGTCTTATTCTTGACAGTGCATACAGATTTCTTGTTGTCATCATATGGTCCTATTTAGATATGTTCATAAATGTTTTCTAAATAACTCGATTAGCCCACAAACTGAATTTCTCTGAATGTATTCAAAACCAATCAGTACAACAGGGATGTTCTAGGAAAATAAATTTACTGTAAGCCTTAATAATCGACTGGATCAAGCAGCAAAGTCAGTAATAAACACCTTCTAGAAAAGCATAGGGAAACCAGGATCACAAGTGAAACATAAATAGAGTCCTTAATGATACTTCAGCATACGGATACATCAGATATGATTGCTGAAAGATGAAGTGCCTAATATGTATCGAAAATATTTCTCAAGTTCACCGACAGTGTATCCTGATAAGGGTTAAATGCAAATTCAGAACAATTATTAAAAGATGAGGACATCATATTCTCTAAAATATCCTCGGAAAAATAGTGTTGACTAAGTAGACTAGATTAAAAGAAAAAAAAATCAATTTAAGATGATGACATCATTACATCAAGAGTTGAAGCGTTCGAACTTACAGTATAGGCTAACACAAATGACCTCAGAATTATAAGTTGAACTCATCAGAACGATAGGATTTAATAACTGTACAGAAAGCGAAAACCCTTCTAGTGACTCTGCTACAGGTATATTTCTTATAACAGTTGCGATCTATTGAAACCTCAGTTATTTCTTTTTTACCATAATTATCCAATTTTCACAGTACAGGGGCATTAAGCACTTTAACTACCGAGAATATGTAACAGTTGTTTGGAATTCATCTTAATACTTTTTGTTTGTCATTCGCATTTGCACACTAAACTTACATCTAATATTTTGTGCAGTATTTTAAGAACGTAGATTTAGAAATAAACATATTTCACAAGGCGAATACTAAATTGGATACAGAATGAGCAGCCAGATAGTGTTAGTCCAGAATGTTTTAGTCATTCTTGCGACTGCACTAAAACTGGCGTCAGACCCGAATTATAAACTACCGTAAGGAACACACAATTTACCCTATTCATTATGAGGCTACTTAAAACAATTTAAGTAGTTATCGTACAAGTGGAAAATTACAAAAATCAGCTGTCAGACGGTAAAATGTGGTAGTTGTGGCTACAGATAGGATGTCTGTTGACCGATAAACCAAATGTGATAAGAAAACCAAATGCTACTACATAGAAATGCAGTACGCTGGGAAAACGTTAGGGGTGACCAGACCAAAACATGTCATCAGCTCAAAAACTACTACAATGTAGATCTACACCGTGTAGGGAAATGAAGACTTCTCGGTTGGGGTCCACGTGACAACAAAAACCAATGGTTGGAGACTGGCGCAAATTTGATATTATTCGCGTAGACATATCCACACATTATCTTCATCCTAATCATTAAACTGAATTTCAATATTTCTGAATTCTTTCTTGCCTTCTTTTGATTAATTCCTACCGCTTAGGCTGCTTTCTTCTTTATTTCTTGGTGTTTCATCTTAATGCATTCTCAGTTAAAGTGTTGACATGCGATGTGACAACTTGGACCGTTACGCACTAATTCCAGGTCCTATGTTGATTTTTTCTGTCTATCGAATCAGTTGTCACCTGCGTAGAACTGTAAGAAGGATATTTCGAACCTAGGCTTCCATTTATCAGAAGGGCGTGTCCATAATCCCTAAGAAAACGGCAAGAACCTTGAATTTTTCGTAGGTGATAAAAAGTCGTGCAGCAGGTGATAACGAGTATGTATTCTAAACCGGCACCCAACTTGAGATTGACTTCGAACAATAAACACCAAACGCAATGAGTGATAACATTGAACAACCTAAATGAGCTAACACATTGCATTCCATGAGTTGTACTTAGCAAATTAAGCTGCACTTTTAGATAATCAACCGATTAATTTGAACATCAGTCCCATTTTCATTAGCGAGGTTTCGTTAAGCATCATGTCTGTTGAACCAGTGGGTCTAGACTGTTGCCAAATATTTTTTACAACAGGCACATTCATGTTATTCGCCCTCACTACATAACACATTACTGTTACCCCGACAAACCTTATTTAAATTAAGTCTGAGTTCCTTCAGCATATCACTATAAAGAGAACGACTTGGAAAGCACATTGATTAGATCAGATGAAAGTGCTAGGATAAATTTCTGATTTTCAGCAGCAGGTGAAAAAGTGTTTGTATCCCCTATCGCTACAGTAAAATCAATACACGATTGTCGCCAATAAATGTGTAACTATTTTCCTCTAGGCTAATTCCTCTTTGAATCATATGCATGTTGCACATAATTAAGGGTGGACATACACAGGTTGAAACCAGAATGTAAGCAAAGTTCAAGGAAGCAGTGCAGAGACGATAGCAATAGTTCAAAAAAAATGTTTCATAACAGTTCGACGTCTACAGCTTCCAGTTCAACGCAAGTTGAAAATAGATGGTGTTAGCTGGTAGGACACGATCGATAGGAAGCCCCGGACGTTGATTTTGTGCTAGTTGGCATTCGTTAGCAAGGTGTATCTCCGACCTCAAAGTAACTGATATATCTCATGAGGGGTTCGGACCCACGTCACCTAGTGTTGTAGTTAGCGACGTGAGTGACCTCTTGTAGGACTAGATTAGATACATTGAATGGTCACTGCAGAGCAACCAATCTCATGCCGCCTAGTCCTGAGTGCCGACCGAATTGGCAATGTGATTACTAATCTAGGATGCTCAGCATTGCGGTGCACTGTGATGGATGTAAAGTTGGTTTGAGGCGATCGGTGGAAGCCCTCGACCTAAGTTTAGTGCTTTTTGGAACTCGTCAGATAAATATCACATTACAGTTGTCGACAATGAAAAGATATGTGAAGCAGTCCTAAACTGATTAAAAATCTAGCCAAGAGATTCTTTTCCAGGTTCTTTAATCATAATAGTGTGAACGATATTACATACCCAGTCTTCTAAGACCCTAATTGTGAGCGTTTTTTCAGTTACTGAACAAAGTAAGTGATGGCTAATGCACCCAGTCGACGAGATGGTTATAGTTAAACATTAAGCTCATAAGAGCAGTAAACAAGTGTTATTCTTACCCTCAGCTTTATATCTCAGTTACTAGCGCGTTTACCAAGTATCATGATTATCATATTAAGAGGCGTATAAACTTACTGACATTAAATACGATGAAAGACTAAAACTGAAAACAAACAAAAACTCAAAACTCCGTACTGACTATGGTTTAAAATGAAGGTGATAGGCCAATAATTAAGAAACGATAAGAAATTTATTGGAAATAATTATTTAGTGGATTGATTTTCGTATTAAACCAATGCTCAAAAAACGCACATCACTTTTTAGGGTATGCATCAATAAACAATCACTTACAATTGTAATCAACGCAGGAATAATTACAGCAAGATAAGGAGAAATATGTCGTATATCGATTGGATTCCCGTCTGATAACATATGGTTATTATCATGATTAGTCACATGTAAGAGACGTCCGTGCAAGCAATCTGTCAGTAAGCGTAGAGCGTCCAACTGACCATCAGACCAATCTGACTCAATTTTTTCACAGATAAGTGGCATCAGATTATGACCAGTCATATTTCGCATAGCAAATAGACACTGATGTAAACCAGAAACCAGCATATCACGAGTAATCCCAGCCACACCACCTCCAGGAGGCTATTATTAAGAAGAGGGAATGAGATAATTTATGCGTATTCATATTAAAAGTAAAAGGTATGGTAATCCCAAAGTCCCATTAAAAGCCGCGATAGATACGTCTAAGACAAGAACCTTCCTTCCAGCAGAATAAGAGATAAAGCGATAAAGAAAGTCATACTACTAGGTGCATCAATTAAAGTCAATACACGTTTTAACAACAAAGAATAAGGAAATGAAAATGAAACGATTTTAAAACAAGCGTGAAATAGATGAAATCCTTTTGCCAAAAAAGGCATAAAAAGTAAACAGTAATGCCGTAAGACAAAGTTAAGTAACTACGAAGGGGTACCCTTTTCAAGTAAGGACTCTTAAGATGTAATTACAATCCAAAGTGTATCATGCTCTCATTGATAAATAAATACAGCATTAACTGACTCAAATATGAAAGGTTTACTGATTCACTATACTACTACTTTATTACAATTCACTATGGATTAATATCTAAAGACGAAAATATCAACGAGGTTCAAATTCATCAGAATCTAGTTATTCATCCTTTCATCTGCAGCTGTAAGCAAAAATTACTCTTCTTTTCTTCAGTGGAACTGTGGCTCATTGGTTTATGGAGATGTCTTTCAAATAGTGGGTTGAAGGTTCGAACACCGTTCCACCTACTGAGGTTTGGGGAACCAAGTAGTATCATTAGCTCTGAAACAACATACGTGGTTCATTGCCTACTGTACGAATCTGTACATGATTTTTAAGTGCATTTCATTTCTTTTCTTTAGTTGTCAGACTTCGTCTCATTGTAGTGGGCGTTGCTGATAAGAATGGATATAAGTAGTATATGTTGGGAGGATGGCAGAAACCATAGGGAATTACCAGCAATGGGTAAAGATTCTGCAAAGAGAAACGCAAGAGGCAACGCGGTTGTATGAAGAGCAAATCAAAAGAGAAGAAGAGGAAATGAAGCATCTACTCTGTCTGTTGATATTCATTCGAAGTGCAGCCATCTCCTTCCGAAGATTGTCAATTTAGTTATTCCAGTTATTTACCTCAGGCGACCCCACTGCAGCTACCACCGTACCATTAGCTTTCTGGTCAACTTGGTCATCTCACTAATGTCCATGGGTTGGGCTGTGTTTACAAGTCGTAACTGCTGGGCGATGGCATTCGGGACACTTTCGGTGAAATGTGTAGCCAGCAACGGCACCTGGGAGTAGTCATCTAACTTGGAAAGCGCTCGTCGAAGTAGTTTTGTCAGCCTCACAGCCAATACTATCGGATCTTCGTCTACTCCAAGTTCCGTGCTCCAGAACTGCTGCATCGCCAGCTCGCTGTCCGCTGGGCCGTCAAACTCCACCTACAGGTGTTCAACCATTCTCTCCCAAATCTTATTTCCATCCACGCGTTCCACACCGTCATATGCCGTTATCGTTCTACCCCTCAGCAACGCGCCCAGCACCACGATATTTACCCCTGGGTTCCGGACATCCACCAGTTCCGCGACCAACTCGCAGTCCCTGAAGAAGACATTGATGTCTCCATCCTCGAACACTTCAGGGGCAGCGACACCAATTGAAATAATCAAGAAGGCAGATACAAACGAAGGAATGTGTATTGTCAATAAGTGGGACAGTAGTCGTTAAATATGGTACACCTTGCCCTAAAACCGCAATTCGCAAAATGTGCTTCACTCCCTCTTCTTCCCTTTTGATTTGCTCTTCATACACCCGCACTGTCTCTTGCGTTTGTCTAGGCAGAAACCTAACCCAGTGCTGGTAATTCCTTATGATTTCTGCCACCCTCTCAACATATACTACTTATATCCATTCTTATCAGCAACACCCACTACTGTATAACCATCATTGTTTTATATAGCTAACGCGAAGTTCAAAACCAAGTGAACCAGAAGAATTTCATCGTACACGAATGAGTAGTTAATCTTGATGAAGAAAAATATGAGTTACTGTTTCCGCAGGTTCACTAGCACCATTCAGTTCGATAACTGACCATCAAATCAGTAGTCATTTTTCATGTGGTGATATATCAGATATGAATAAAAAGTTTTCAGAAACTTACTCATGTAGCATAGAAGAAGTACCAAATTTTATCTCTAATCTTTTTCTCTGATGACTTAAAATCAAAGAACTATTTGTAGATAATATTCTATCATAAACATGACTGCAAGCCATTACATTTTTATGTATTACCTGGTAGTTTTTGAATCGATTCATTTCTGCACTTTTTTACGCTCTGTTGATAGTTTTTTTGCTGACTTCCTCTAGAAATCAAATATACTACTCGCTATATTTTCTATAAAGACACACATTGTAAGTATAAAACACAAGCAACAGTGTATGTTTTCCTACACTCCTTTCCAGCCAATGTAAACCGTTTCCGACATAAAAGCTTATTTTCCCTGTCAAGTTGGCTGAGCTGATTTAAGACAGTAAGTTGCTGATCACTTACAGGCAAGTCAGATTCACACCACAGTTAACGTACAAATTACAAGTCATAATACAAAGTTTAACGCTTAAAGATATCCAGATGAAATTTATGAAACTGAAATTATTACGGTTTGTAATTTGAAGAAGTTGTATCACTACAGCCTGCATCACTTCAAACTTGTTAACCGGTTAGTCTAAATTGCAAATATTGTGAATTACTTCATTACAATCACAATATGAGAATTTAGTACGATTCATTTGGAATTCAATAATATGTTTTATCTACTTTATATTGACACCAATGCGGCTATAGTACTAAATAATGCAAGTCCGATCATCACCAGGAATACAGACTTCTCTACGGTGATGAATATTGTGGGAGTCATTGTGGTTACAACACTTTTTGGGCAACTCATGGTGTTGTCGCTATAGTTTATTCGAGTAGGTAATTGACATTTAATCACTTGGTCATATTTGCGAACCTTACTTCATCTATCCATGTTTCGACAGTTATTTAAGTTTCACAGTCGTCATATAATATTTTGGTGAAGTTCACAACCTAGCAAACAAATCAGTATGATTCATTTGGAATTCAATAATATGTTTTATCTACTTTATATTGAAACCAATGCGGCTACAGTACTAATTAATGCAAGTCCGATCATCAGCAAGAATATAGACCTCTCTATGGTGATGAAGAATATCCGTTGCTTATTGGTAAAAGCTTTACACCAGCATATCAACAACCAAAATCTTCATTTCCACTAATAAAGAACTGAATTTCCCCCTTAAACATAAAGATGTAATAGTAATATTGATAATATACATTTAAAAAAACACAGCTAAAACTTACTGGTGAAAAGTCGATTGGGAAGTAAATAGAAGTTGTTTCAAAAATTTCATCTTTAAATTCATCCACTATTTTTTTTTAGAGATAGAAGTGAAGAGAAAAAAAAAGCAATGCGATGCATAAACAATTATTATTATTATTATGATAATAATAAAAGGCTATGAAATATTTGAGTTAGAGCACAATTACATTTTGTTATTGAAATGAAAATCAGGAAACTAGTCAGAGTATTCATGTCTAGAACTCTTGGAAAAGTGGTTACAAACAATCAAGCTTCTTTTAAAATCAGAATTCCAAATCCAGAGTACTTAAGATGTATGTTTGATTCTGGCATTCTAAGTTTTTAATTCACTTTTTATTCATAAAGGTTATTCTTAACTTTGAAATAAATCCACTAGTTTGAAATTACTTTAGAATGCTCATTTATAACTGACATTAATGTTTGAAATGATGGGAAATATTTTTAGCTGATGCTGATTACGTTTAGTTTTATAATATCAACCTACCCAGCTTAAGGAATACAATACAACCAAATATATTAAGTATCTAAATACAAAATTCAATAGGATAAGTAAAGATACCTAACACGTAAACTAAACTCAAAGACATTAATGACTAATGCTGTTTAAATGTGCATTCACTCACTGTGAAGTTTACAATAGCAATAACACTTTACTGTAAGATATGAGACTGTCACCAACTTTATAACGTTTTATAAACAATTCAGTGTTTATAGTCGTATATGTATGAGACTGCTTAACTATGCGCGATTTACTTGACAATCAAAATATCATGAGATCGATAGTCTTTGACTCTATCTAAAACCCATGAAGTGTTACAGATGAAAAAAAAACTATAAAACAGAAACAACATATTTACGCAATACTACATGACTTTTAGAGCTTATTTGATTAGTGTCAAACTGTGATGATCTAATAAGGGAAGCTATATACCAGAGTATATTTGAAAATCGTCGGAGAATAACACTATGCATAACCTGCAGTTAAATTCATTTTTTTACCTTGTGACTTAAATTAACTCCATCTAACTTTGAAGAATACAATAGTTTCAAGTTCATTATTATTTGTCCCTTCGGTTCCTAATGGAACATAGAGCTTCAGTAGCACCTATGCAGTGAATTCTGTTCTCTAAAATCTTTTGGACCTGGCTCCACGACAGCCCAGAAGCCCTCATTTCCTCCTCGCACGACCTGCTCCATGTCACCCTTGGACGCCCAACTCGTCGCTTCCCATCGGGGTTCCACTAAAGCGCCAAGTTCATGCTTTTCCATTATTCCATGGTTTCATTACCTTAATCAGTCAAAAGCATTTCAGCAATGCCTCTTAAAGTGCTGTTTTATGCTAATAATTAAAGATTATGAAAGCACAAACCAGACTCGATTGTATGCGCTACAAAGCATCTATAGTAGGGTGATAGGTAGACATAAACAGAATAGGATCGAATATTATATTCATTGGAACTCTGCATCAGAAAGACCTACGACAAGTCAATACAAGAAAAGATAATGAAGGGAAAATAACACGATAATAAGGTGAACAGACACAAAGAAAACAAGCAGAACATTTAAAAAAGTAATAGGCGAGCACATAGTATGGGACAACAACTATGCAACACTCTCTGTTATCTAATAATAACTTATGCTGAAAACCATATCCGCTAAAAAACAACAGAGAAATAAATAGTTATACATAATAATGAATGGAAGAAAAAAAATTTCATCTCAGTTACCTGAAGGAAAATTGTTAATGACCAACACATTCATATGAAAAATTAATTGTAAAATTTGTGGATCTTTTTCCCCATCAATAGCTACTAAGTAATTACGAACAAAAGTGGATTTCATTGACTGAATACCTTTTGAGAATAAAACAAGTAAGAAAATTTGGCAAAATATTTATAAACACAATTAAGGATTCATATGATATTGAAGACTTAGTATGTTTGACTTACTTTTCAACTTGGTAACCAAATGGAAGTTAGCTTAACGAAGGTAATCAACAAGTCAGGTTTAATGACAATATTTGATCATCCAAAACTGAGAGAATAAAAAGCATGGTCGAAACACTTGACCAACCAGTTGTAGGTCATGTATAAACCCATCAGTTACATCTCACACAGACAATAAATACAGACAGTTGGAATTAGATATTTAATCTCAACTATTGACTGAATTCACAGGAAGAAGAAATAAGAGAAAATAGGAACATATCTCACATCGACTTGAAACAACATTGAGTGAACAGATATATATTCCTTTTCCATTAAGTTTTCATTATGGACCACATGGACTATGCATTTGCTTACTTCACATGGCAGAGGGATTGTAACCCACCTTCACAAACCTGACCTTTGTAATCAAAATAAATTCGTTCAACCACTTTCATTACCACGGTCATCAACATGATATAACTTTTAGTATTAATTTGTACATTTGAAGAAATGTGCAACAGATGTACTCCTGTCCTACCAGTATTCATCTTCTTTCTTATTCTTATGTAATCGTTTGCTGTCTATGACTTACCATTCGAGAAAAAACACAATTTACTTTACCAGTTACTATGTGGTTTGCCTAAGAATAATCCGCTTCATATTATTATAATTGCCATTTCTAATCCTGTTTAGTTACTCTCTCTTGATCAGTTGCATCTTGATTTCTAAAACTTATCATTTTCGTGACTTACTTAAAATCTGTAATTATTGTTTATCAACTCACTGACCCACAACACCACCCCTTGAATAGTGTTTTGATTGAATTGTAAACCTACGTATTATTGTAGAGCCAAAGACGAAGACTTAATGGAAAGGGAATATGCTTCTTCGCTCAAACAATTTTCTTTATAAACTTATTTAATGAAATTTTAAATGTTCATCGACTTGAATTTCGGTGGCTCAATGTCAATGTGTTTTTCACTACAACTGAAGGTCCTCCCTCAATACTTTAGGGGATCAAGATTGTTGGCTGCTGAAAAGTATGAAGTGAGAAAGAAATAAACTTATACTTCGCTTTGGAACCTCTCTCTTTCAGAGAAACACTGGTTCTATAGTAACAATGATATGATCGGATACTCTGAATATTGACCTCATCGCGAGATAGTATGATGAAAAATGATAACTGTAGTCTACTTTGTGGCTAGAAGTGAAATCCAACGTGAGTTCCTTCCTATTCAGAGCTTGTCAGCCGGATGTACCTGCACTTTATTGAGTGTTGTTCCCACTGAGATTCGAATCCAGTACCCATCGTTTCAAACGCCAAAGCTTTACCCACTACGACAATTCAACCCAGTGTAGCAACGGGAAATTACAAGTATCAATAAACAAGTGACAACTTTTACAAATACTTTCAGTAACTGCGTACATATTCATACTCTAGGTAACAAGCAACACCTACTGTGTTAAAAGTTAATGGTGCTACCTGGTTGCCAAAACCTCAGGAGTTGCAGCCAGAGTTGAACCCGTCAACCACTGGTTGAAACTCAACTAACTGGAGCTATAGCTCCACTTTTAAAGACACAGTAAACTAATATTTTTTCACAAACAAACAGTACGAGGATTCAAAACTAAAATCTGCGGTTGTTGATATCAATCGAATAATTGCACCAACAACTATTATTGACTTTGAAGTTAAAAATTATAACCCTATAAAGCTAGAGTTACAAACATGGACTACAGAAATTACAGTATGAAGCGGGCATTCGAACAAAAACTATGACTCTCACTTATACTAGGTCCAAGAGTTTGTCTACAAGCAGTTCATCAGATGATTCGATCTGATGCAACGACCTTAATAAATTGACATCACATTCTGTATCGGTCGACTAGGCTCAAATAAGTCAAACTTGACAGCTTTTAAATGAGGACAATTCACTATTATCAAAGTTCAGATAACCATAAGTCTTTTTTGAAAGATACTACATTCAGTAATCATGCATCCAATATAACAATATCACATATTTTGACATTTTCCCTGGTTGGCAGTCGGTACAGAGCCCTATTAAGCAAAGGTTTCGAGTACAACATTTGTTCTTCAGCTGTGTTAAGATTTAACCAAAAAACCCAAGTAAACGTACCAACTAATTGAGATCCTGTTAAAAAGCAATGCAACAACTGAAAGACCTTCAACCTTCCAGATTTTGTCAAACTCTGTATCGACAAATGACCAAATATTCCATGTTGAACTATTCGTTCAGCTTGTTCTGCACTAATCATACTGCAACCATTAGACCCAACTGATTTTGTCAACCAAATAAATCCATCAAGAATCAGGTTTGTGATATTCGGATCGGCAATAGCTAAACGATCTGACAGGAAATCCACAAGATGATCGACTAAATCATACATAAATAAAACAAATAAATAGTTAGTTGCGCATTAGGTATATAAAAATAATGGAAGTAATAATCATAACATGTTACTATTATCTTCCACACTTGAAGTGGAAAGTTAAAGACGTTTGTGAAGAGCCACGTACACCTCAATTCACCATCTCAGTAAGTTCAGATTGGACATTTAATAGAATAAAAATTATCGACGAACGATCGTATTTCATGTGACAGGATGTTCTTTATTCAGTAACCCTGATGACCCGTCCAACAATGACTACCAGGAACAGTCAGTTCATTTCTGTTGTGATATGAAGTTAGACAAATAGTGATAAATTCGTTAGCTTTATTTTTAAGTGAAGCTTGTTCTGTAGTACGAGAGTGGAACGATGGTCACTGAATCACCTGCCTTTAAAAACATCCAACCAATGAAATCACTGTCCTGTGCTAGAAGCTTTTCAGTATCACTAGCAATACACATAACAGTGAACAGTTTGTAATCTACAAATTAATCAAACTGAAACCAATAACAAAACTAACAGGATGAATTATGATATGCGCTTACAAACTAATGAATATTATTTTTATGTTTTGGAAGTAAGATAATAAAGAAAACCAAATGCCATGCAACAACTTCAGAAAATATGAACGTATATTAGCCGTATGAGTTTAGTAGCAAGCACAAATATTTTGTACTACTCAGTTAAACTGACAATCAGAGTAAAGACATCAAACTAGTTCAAACCTAAAAATATACGCAAGATGGATAGTGAAAAATTATGGGTCTAATAATAAAAAGGCTCCTTGAAATTACTATTTCATTACACATTTACTAGTTATTATACAGTTAGCGTCAAAAATGTGTCTTGGTGTATATTGTTTGGTTATCAGTTTTATGTCGTTAGTCCTAAATGCTGACCCAAATTGGAATTTAATCGATAAGCCAAAGGACAAGCCACTGCAACACACTTTGACTGATATTAGGTAATAATTTAGAATTGATGACTGGTAAAAGAGAATCCTGATACACTCAGTTACTTTCCGGTTACACCCTTTTGGTAGCAGAAATCCATCCTTACAAAAATTGCACGATAGCTCAAACTCCGTTTCACTTACAAAGTTTTAAGCAGCCAGCTAACATCACAGCTCCCATGCAACAGGCTTGACTCATTACATAGTACATAAACATGTACATAGCAATTGTGTTGCATCGTTGAGTATTATATTTCAGGTGCATTCATGAGTTGTCACACTCTTGGAAGTGAATATTCCACTAAACCGCCATTGATTCTCTTTTCCTATCTCATTTTGTTGACCCATTTCTCACTGTGGAACAGACAGATATGCACTGATGTGACGGGTATGCCTTATGCTTATCAATCCCCGGTGACATGAAGGACTGCTAACTTAAGAATGACAGAAACGATAAAGCATGGAAACCAGAAAGATAAAATCATTTGGAGATTTTCGTCAAAAATATTTATCTAAACCGATATTCATTCACTGTCAAACAACTTCGAGTCACGCTAATCTCTAGAGGATCATTAACTGGTTGTCCATTTGCTGTTGTGATCACTCTAAACCGTGAATGGTTATTCACGCAAAATATAAATGCGCACTCAGCTACGTTGTGTACATTCGTGCAGTAGACAATGAGCCACACCTATTGTGCGAGGTTTAGTGATAATACCTAGCTGCATAAATCTCTGTAGGTGGAGCATGTCTATAATGTTCATCATGCATACAATTAACCTTGACGAATGTTCCGTAAAGATTAGTGATCGGTACACTTACTTTCTTTACATGTTATACTTGAAATTGGAATATTTTTCAATCCACTAATAAGTGTTTCTATAGATTCTCTTTGTGAGGAAATCTTGACATCCGTTAGTCCTGGCCTAGAAAACAATTTAAAAAGAACATGGTTGAACAAAGGAAAAAACAGACAAAATCAATGACGAGCGAAGCGTTGGCAAATACAAGCACTTTCGCACGAGTTTCGCAGAATGGTTTGTTGTATAGAATGCCACAGTATGCTACTTATTAGGACACTGAGGAAACAGTGAAGGAAGTAAACGAAACATTAAAACACTAAACAATATAAACGATTGACATAAGGAAAACGTTAGATTAAAAATGCACAGTGAATTCAGATTTCGCGCAAGATACGATGACAAGATCGAGGGAAAAAAGGACGATTATACACTCAGAAAAAAGCAAGTGACGATTATTGATGCTTATTATAACATTCATTCTTCGACACATTACACAAATCAGCAAAAAAATGCAATCGGCTTTAGTGAAATTTGTTAGTGAATCCGACTTATCCCGTCGCACACAGAAAGGCTGAGAGGTAGAATAAAGTTTGATTACTAAAATTTGGCATGAAATGCAAATTGGCATTCACTAACTTATAAGCAGATGCCATCTCAGTTGGATTTTTAGATGAATTACATAGTGAAACAGTATTATTTATTGCATGCTGTTTTGGGGATAACTTATTGCTCATAGTCAAGGTGTGATACAAGTACAGCTATTCGTTTATATTTACAATGATGACAGTATATTCTGACCGGGTTAGGTTCATTCACAGGGGGGTTTTCTTCAGCTTTTAGTGGTGCCTAAGTGCTGGAATAAGTCTTGGCTTTTAAAAATAGTGCTGATAGGCAACACTCCTTATGGACTGCAGGCTGCTTATACAAACGGGATCAAATCAAATGAATATTTCAGTTGTAGTTTATTTGAGGGCCAGCGGTGGTATCAAGTATGCGAGTTTCATCTTTTCGAGACTCATCGGCCGGATGTACCTGCACCCCACTAACTGATTCTGTTTCCACTGAGATTCGAACCAGCTCCTCATCACTTCAAAAGCCAAAACGTTATCCATTCGGCTACTAAGGCACAAGAGTCATCTCTTGTACAACGGGTATCAGTTACTTACTGCTACTTGCAATTCCCCATCGTAGTCTATATTCAACCGCTTATCAGGAAGCCACTTTACACCATGATATAAATTAAGACTAAAACTTACATAACTTTCAACATTTCATAAGCCAGATACACCAACATCACAAGCTGACTGCATCTTTGACTTGACGTTAGTATACTGAATGGACACTGGAAACCAGTTTTGAACAATGCATTGAAATGTTAAACACAAGTCTGAGTCATTTTCCATAAAACTATATCCATTCTTAACGTAACAATTGCATAGAATAAGCTACTTTGCAAGTGAACTTCAGTGATAAGTTGAAACATTGTATTTCTAACTTCTGACTCGATACTAAATTCCAGCTGAAGATACGCTATACAAAACATTAGTTTGCATGAATATCAGAATGCATGAGGAAACGTGTGGTTTGTTTAGTATATATCGATAAATGTGCCAGATCAAACTGCACATATCGAATTACACTGTTTACAGATAATAAGGAATAGATGTTCAAATTTGTACTTCTCATCCGTTTCATGAATATAGGAGTAAAACTTGGACACCGATGTAGATTGCAATTCCATTTTAGTCTATTAAAAATGGCACGCAATGAAAAATCATATACTGGATAACATTTAGGACATAATTTATTGTCCATATTCATATCAGGTAACTCCACAACTTTAAGACACAATTGATATAATCCTACTTTTCTCTCCTTCTTTGTGACAGGTGTAGCAGGGGTAGTAGTATATCTGGGACAGATGCAGAATCATTTCTATTGCACGTGTTTGGTGTTGACTTGGTAAACAAAGTTGTGGACTCACCTGATATGAATATGGACAATAAATTGTGTCCAAAACGTTATCCAGTATATGATGCTGTTTCATTTTATGACAATTCTAATAAACAGACTAAAATGGAATTCTCATACTTTCCTTTTGCTTCTTTTAATCGGGTCGTTCAAATAAAGCATTTAGTAAACGTAAAGTACTGATTTATCTTCCAATGGTCTAACTGTGGCGACCCACCGCTTGGTAGTAGCTGAACGAGCTTGTGATATACTTACCAAATATTAGCTCGCTCTTTTCAACGTACTGAAGAATGCTAAAATACCTGTTTTGTCGTGTCAATCAAGAAAAAGCTTCTGAAATTTATTGCCCCGATTATGAAGCCATTGATAAACTGCCTAAAATGTCACTGTTCTAGGAAGATGGATTTTCCGCATATGTGCACTGACTAACATTATTTAATAAGTAATCTACTAAGAGCTCCCATGTGAGATGGTTATAACTAGGTTAGTCAAAAGTAGAATAAATTTGGGAACATAAGTAAAAACTTCTAGAAGTCTGAGATACCTTCGAAAACAATTTCGGTTTTTTCATAAAGTAACGAGCAATATATAGATATGCATACATCAATTGTCTCAACTTACTCGAGTGACTGAATTAGATCAAATAAGGATTCCATCTGGGAAGAATAAAAAGTCAGTTTAGTTAAAGGACGAGAAATAGAGGAAAAAGTATGATACTAAGGTTTACGTAATTAATTGCCGAAGACAACAAGTATATACAACATTTACAGTTAGTTCAACGGTAAAGTGAATTTCAGTGATGTTGTGATATTTGATCCTACGGAGATACGATACTTTGGAAAAGAAATTTATGTAGTCGGTCACCTAACCGATGTATTAGAACACTGCTGCCTACAATTCAAGAAATATTTCTACATGGGAAAACGACACAGATAAATGATTGTTATGTAGTGAGTTATCTTTAATAAGTCACAACCAATATATTGCAAACCATTCTTCTGTGAATTTTTCGTCGTGGATCTTGGAACTGGGAGCAATACCTGAGGGTTCTGAGGATATTTAAAGCATCCGATTGGAGAAATAAGAGGCTTACAAAAGGAGAAAATGCATAATACGTGAATACGTGTGGAAAATGACTTTATTTCCCGACTGAATGTTTGATGAAAAACCGGCAAAACATTTTGCAACACCCACACGAAAACTGACATGTGTCAACATTTTCTTTCTTGATGTTGAAGCTTGCAGATTCTAGATGTAGACTTGATCGAACTAATATATCACTATTAGCTTATGAGCTCCTGATTGGTTTCATTGTCATAACCTGATAGTCTACACTACAACATCTGAAGTGATGGGCACCAAGTTCGAGTCCGAGTGGTGATATCACCCATTAGGAGGCGTGTATTTCTTTTTTTGTTCACCTGTCTGGTTTTGTATATTTTTATCCAAATAATCCTTTCTTAGAAGTCGGTGGCTCTTAGTGGTTGTTCAACTTTACTTGTCAAGCTGTTCTTGGGAAGCCATCTTTTTTCATTATACTTCGGTAGTACGTCGTGATCGCTGAAATGAATCAACAGACTACTGTGATAATCTGAAAACTCGCGCTCTAAGTACTAATGAGCACTTTTGGAACTTCATTGGATAACTGTCAAAAGTTTCAGATCATGTCTATGATTCTAGCTGACAACAAATTTTATAGTGAAAGATATTTTGTGACCCGTGGGTTTATGGAGTTGACATTCAAGTGGCAGTTTACGGTTCGAACGCAACACCTACCGAGGTTTGAGCAGACAGGTAGCCCCCATAAAATACTTGTGGCTGTGCCTACTACACGGACGTGCACAAGGTTGATGAGTGTTTTTAGTTTCAATTTAGAGATTGTTTTACCAGAAAGACAACTGATGCTTAACTAGGTGAAGAGAAATGACATTTTCAAAGTATGGGTTGAAACGTAGTTCGCAATTGTACACAAAATACACACGCGAAATCCCCATAGGCTTAGTTGGTTGTTTTTAACCAACAAGGAGCACCACATTACTACGTAACTCCCCAGGATGCCACACATAACTATAACAAATCAAGAGACAGTCACAAAACGATTGATTCACATGCAAACGATACGATTCTACACCATGTTGTCGTCTTCACATGACACAAAACTTCATCTTCGTATTCTAAATTTTCCAAGAATTTACTTGCGATATGAGCGATTCCTGTAATGTCAGGTGAAGAGATCAATATGAGAATGTCTATGACGAGTTTGATGACCGGAACAGTAAAGCAGGACCGCGACTCCTACAGAAGCAAAACTTAAACAAAGAAGGGCTGTACGTCAAGCAGTTAATCAGAAAGTCTCGTGTTTGGTGGAACTTAGCCCGATGGCCCCGTTTATAACCTGGTTAACATGTCTAGTGAATTTTATTTATGAAGAGTATTTACGATAATCAGAAATTCGAAAATAAATTAAGAGCGTTACTAACCTAAATGCAGCGATCAAACTAACCAGAACAACCCAATGTACGACCAAGAATTTGTAAATAATTTCAAATGTCACATGGGACCAGTAGCCTTGATGCCAAAACAACCGCTGACAAGTTTAGGCATCCAATAGCCAATATCTATTCGACAAGCTTGTGAAATCACTTATTTCTTCGTGCTCGCTTCCAGGTCTTGTGGAGTGGTTCCAGATCTTTGGCGGATTCCGATACAGTAGATCCGGCCATTTGTCTGCCATAACCCGTTTATCCAACGGATGGTTAGGTGTTGTTTAGTTTGCCAGGGACTAATACGGTTGGCTTCGTCAGATATCGAGAGAGGGTTGGGGATAGTGAAGAGGTAACTTACGAAGACAAATGTGTGTGAGTAAAGGACAAAGAAGAGTGAAATGATAGGGTAATCTACGCACACCCAAATAAGACGAGAGGGTGCAAAGATACGCAGAACTAAGGTGTGACTACGAGAGATGGAAGGCGCTCAGGTGGTCAGAGTAAGAACAGAGTTTTGCAGAGGTGGGGGTGTTCGGTGGTGTGACAGCAGTTGATTTCTTTGGTCTAGTTTGTATTCCAACTAAATTAGCGTAAGCCGTTAGTCACTACGCAACTGTCTAGCCTTTTCTTTAATCTATCTGCAGTTGGGGACACAGACTACCTCTGATGGCAGTGCATTCCACTACCTGCAGACTGGAAGGGAGGAGAAGTGTGGACTTACAATAGTTTCTGACCTATGGTGGGCTATTCTCTTCTGGTTTCCACGGGGATCGCCATGATGGCCACTCGGTAGTACTCCTCTGTTCGAGTGACTAGGGTTGCTAGGTTTTTAAGCCATTAGCAAATCACCTCGTAACATCCGATAACCAAGGGAGTGTAGGCCTATATCGTTCAGTCTACCCACGTATGGTTTTTGGCTCGTCCCTACAACACCCTTTGTACCTCGCCTGAGAACTTTCGTTCCCCTTTTCAGGTGCGGTGGAGCGAAGACGTTATGGGCTTCCAAGCGGGGTGGTGTGTAGGTCCTGTGGCGTTTCAAAAAGCGCCACGGAGTGAGGGTACCTCCTTTCAAGATGTTTCGAATGACGATCGTAGGAGCGAAGGAAGCCACGCTTAACTGGCTTCTGGTTCCAGAATTCGTGACCTGTAGCTTTTGTGCATGATGCCCTGGGTAGGGGCAAAGAAGTGATAAAGAAGGAATAAATATGATGAAAAATGATGGGATTATTTCCAACTTAGTCTGTTAGCTCACATCGTGACCTTATGTGGAAAATAAGCTTGCGTTTGAAGGACTTTGACTTTGTGACTGGAACAACCATGTGGAGAACATCCCAAACCTTAATAGCTTATTGGGAGTGCATGCTTCGCCCTATTTCCCCCTACTCTGTTCAAGTTATAACTTCTTGGTGTTCCCCTCACAATTCGTATCATTTATTAGCCCAACTGAACGCTGAAACTGGTTTTCTGACTTAATGTTTTGTTTATTACTGATGGTTAATCGACCAAACCTCCTCACTGGTGTTCTCGCTTGGGTCAATACAAATTCAGTCAACTCTGAGGACACTGGCGCACGAACACATTTTGTCAGTCTTTCCGAGGCCTCTGCCCGCTTCATTGTATACTGAGAGGCAGTACCTTCACTGCGCACCCTAGCGCTGCCGGCGTTGAGGCCAAGTGAAGAATCCATTTGTCCTAATCCTATGGCACAGTTCTATGGCTAACCGTGATGATCCTACGATGTCACTACGCTCTATGCCTTGAGCCGTGACTAAACCTCTCAGCAAACCATGGACAACCTCATGATGTCCAGTGTTTAGACGTCTCAATATCTCACAAGCTTCCCTGCAAAGTGAAGACAGTAGCAGCATAGTGCAATCTTCTATAAACCCTCGCCTTTTCCCCCTACAGTGGTGCAACAAGCAAAATTAATGCTGACCATCACCCTCATCGTTTGACACAACGTACAAATTGAGGCGCCTAACAAACTTCCATTAGGCAGCAGGTTGCTCATCGAACGTGTTTAGTTCCAGAAAGTTGTAAACCAACTTCAAGTGACGGCGGCACCACGTCTGTTTCTCTACTTTCAAAGTTATTAGCTTAACAGGGATATTTGAAACTTAAAGGGTCCTCCTGTTGCCTTTCGCTCACATTCTACAAGAATTGTGCTTCGTCCCCTGACTGCCGTCCCATTTCCGACAACCTTGGATCTCTTTGAAGTTCTACCATTTGCTTCTTTTGTATATTCCGAAGCTGGCGGGGCTCCGGCTCATGTCTTTCCTGTAACACAATCAGCACAATTCTAAGGCTAACAATACTATAACGAGAGGTTGATTTACTGTCAAGGCCGTGGAGGGAAAATGCATAAATGGGAACTTGCCAGTTTACTGGAGGATCACTTGCTTCGCACAAATTGGCCGCCCTTGATATCGAATAAGTATTGCGCCCGATGTTCCAATAGACCCTAAGTTGCTGAGTACTACAATGACCCGTACGATTATTCCGGTCAGAATACAGCTGCCAGCCCGGAGCAGACTTTTTAACCGACGACAAGTGTACGACCGCATCCTTTCTGTGTGGTGAACCTAGCTTCCTTGAGTCACACGTAGCCGAAATATATCCAAAGTGTAACGGAACACACTTGATATGGTTGTATCTATGTTATATCTACGTTAATTCTACGGCGCCATTTAATCATTATACATTTTTCAGATCTAACTGATGAGTCCTTCGGTCACATAGAATTCTAGTAATGAATAAATGAATATTTTATTCTCATATTAGTAATTTAACGTGAGAGAAGCCAGCTTACAGGCATCATCACACTGATATATGTTCGAAAATGTACAAGATTTTACGGGATCTACATGGTACGGGATAGAGGCCATTAAAATAGATTAAAAACATCAGAAGATCACACAAGTCATGAGATGAACAAGAAAATAAAACTTTTCAGCGTATACGGTATTAAAGTCTGGATCGTTTTCAGTCATACTTTCTTTTTTCACAATTAGTAGCACCAAGGTAGCGCGAAATTCCAAATTTCCAAGCAGTCGACTTGTTTGACTTCTCTTCGCTATGCCCTGTTACGCTATATAAACGTCCATTTTACCTTGAACTCTTGTGCTTATAGCTTCGGGCACCAGAAAACCCACACTGACGACATTGAGAAC